TGCTGTTGAATGTAGAGTAGCTAAAGCTATTGGAAGAGATGATGATATTAGAAAGCTAAACAGAAATGTTCAAATGGTAGCTTGAGAAGACTAAGTAAAATATTATAATGAAATGGGCAAAGACCTGGAGTTAGAAAATCAAAAGAGGAGAACACTCAGCAGATCTCAGCTCAACATATCTTAAGCTGAAAGAACTGAAGGAAAAATTCAGCATCAAATTGCAATATGAAAGACTCTCTGTGCAAACTATTGAGCACTACAGGAAGCATTAGTAGAAAATGGAAAGAATACACAGATTCCTTTCCCCCAAGGAAGGGTGAACATTCAACCATTTCAAAACGTAGCATGTGGTCAAGAACTGGCGGTCGTTAAGTAAGAAGTTCAAGCTGTTTTGAGGCTATTAGTGCAAAACAAGGCTTCAGGAATGGACCAATCAAAATATTTCAGAAAACCGGCGCGGTGCTGGAAGCACGTGCTAGTCTATGCCAAGAAATTTGGAATACCAACCGACTGGAAGAGATCCATATTTTTGCCCATTCCATAGAAAGCTTATTTAACAGAATGCAAAAATACGTGAACAGTAACATTAATATCATACACAAGTAACATTTGGCTGAAGATAATGAGAAAATAGTCACAGCAGTCCATAGACATGGAGCTGCCCGAAATTCAAGCTGGATTCAGAAGAGGCCATGGAGCAAAGGATATCATTGCTGATATTAAAGGGATCTTGGCTGAAACCAAGGAATACCAGAAAAAATGTTGACCTGTGTTTTATTGACTGTGAAATGGCATTCTATTGTATGGACCATAACAATCTGTGGCTAACATATTAATGGGAATTCTAGAACACTTCATTGTGCTCATGAGGGGCCTCTATATATACCAAGAGGCATTCGAACAGAAAGGAATGCTTTAAAATTAGGAAAGGTGTGCATCAGGATTGTATCCTTTCGCTATACTTATTCAATCTGTATGCTGAGCAAATTTCAAAGAAGCTGCCAAAACTGGTGCAGGGTTGTGCTTCCTGCCTTTATCTCGCCCTCTGGCTGGGGGAGGTGTGGTTGAAGGTCTTGGTTGACCTCATTGGCAAAGTTAGGCCCACTTGTGTGATGTCATTTGCTGGTACCTAAGGTGGGTGTGCCCAAGGGATTGGTTTTACCTGGGCCTACGGGGTCCTAGTTTGTGCATGCACAGTTTGGGTTTCTCATAGGTGTTCAATGGTTGCCTGATTTCTTTCCAACCTCCTCTATGGGGGCCTTTGCAGGCATGGGAGGGATAACCCCCCTGT